ACAATTCTATGAGGTCAAGGTAAGGCCAAGAGTATGAGAATAATCCAAGGTCACCCAGCAAGCTTCAAACTTGGGTCTCCCTGCTCCTCGTCTGATGCTCTAGCCACTGCACAACACTGGCTCACTTCCTAAATTGCGGCAATGACACTTGCACTCCTCTTAATTTCACATCGTTCAAAGTCCTGTGATATGTTAAGCAAAATCACACACCAAGAGTTCCCACATTTGCAAGATTTATAATCTTGCATAATTTCTGCGGGTTATTATATATTGACCATAGTTTTAAATCCTGATTTGCAGACAAGAAATAAATCACAGAATTTAAAGTATCCCAGTTTGTATGCCAAAACGAAACTGGTTTCTTTCATGCTAGAAATCACAGCTACAAGCACGAAGGGGAAAAGAGTGGGTGCATGGGAGAAGAGATTAACAGTGGAACCATAATCCTTTACCTTTCTAAGACCACTGAAGTCACCTCTGTTTAGGACTGTGCTTTTGGATTATGAAACTAGTGTGGGGGGAAAGGATTCCTATATACCTCTTCCCTCCAAGAATATTGGTAACCTCTTCATGGTTTCATTTCAGTTAAATATGTACCCAGTACATCACTAGATACAATCCCTTGGGCTGCTAATATTCTGGAAGGCAATTTCTCTCACTGTTAGCAGCCTATTTGTCAGACACCACATGAAAACTTACCTGCTTCTGGATCTGGAGGAATTCTCCACATGTATAAATTGAAGTCATCAGAGCCAGACAAGATGTACTAAAATGAGGGCAAAAACAACTCTGGTAAGTTACAATGAAACCACCACCAAGGCAAGCCTCAGTGCAGAACACTGAGAAGATTCTATCACCTTGATTGTGCTGTTCAGAATGTACCTGCCCTCACCAGAAAGACTTGGAAACAAGAGGACCAGGGATAAACTATTAAAAAGGAGTTTTTAGCTTACAATCAACAAAATGCAACAAGGCTCCCATCATAACACATTTATTTATTTGATTTTTAGCCTACCCTCCCCGCCGAGGCAGGCTCAGAGCGGCTTACAAAGGGAACAATAGATAAAACAAGAAGTGCATATGACTGTAGCTTTTGTTAATTTTATAGATTTTAAGCCCCCCCCCCTTTTACAAATATGCTCCACTTAAAGTAATGGAACTTCCTTTGAATAAACAGCCATATTATTATGTTGCAAGAGAAAAAAGGAATCCACTGTAGAATTGCCTGCAATTGGTTTTTCCTTCTTGAATCAGGGATGGACTAAAACACTTTGCTGACCAAAGTACTGAGCAATCAGAAAAGTGTATCTGAGGATTCCCGGGTGCCACAGAGAATGTTGGAGCCCAGATGGCACGAGTCCCAAGAGTGGCAACATGAAACTCTCTACAATATGCTGCAAAGGACCCGGGGGGTGCACCTCCACAATCATTTTGTGCTTCAGCTGTGCTGGTAAAAATATTACTGCCCAAGTAAACTTACTTACTTGGGTTGCTTGTGCAGTGGGCCAGTCCTGTTCAGAATATTCACAAAGCAGGAAACATCTGAAAGCAATCCAGGCTGTAACATTCTTTTGCTGGGTCAATCAGCACAACCAGCGAAATCATGGCTACTTCTGCCACCACCTGATTCTGAAGGGGTTATTATTATATAAACTACAATATTCACTGGATGACATCAACTTACAGGATGTAAATGATCACTGTGTATGTTTTCCAGTGTCAGAGGGTAGCCATGTTGGTCTGCAGTGGAACAGCTAGAGTTGAGTCCAGGAGCACCTTAGCAACCATTGAGATTTTGGGGGGGAGGGGTATGACCTTTCAAGAGTCAAAGCTCATACCCCCAAAATTTTATTGGTCTCTAAGATGCCACTGGACTCGAACCTATGTTTTCCAGGAATTTTATACCCTATTGTTGATTATAGGGAACAGTAGTTAAGCAGATGCTATTCAGACCAAGATTGTAAAATTTATATAAAGTTGTTTGGCAATATATGTTCTCTAGCACTTACTTAGTACTGCCCTGTTCATTAATTCAACACACTCTTTAAGGAAAGTTGAGGAAATTCTATTTACCGATAAATTTTAGAAGCTTCCTTAATACTCAAGTGTTTGGCCAGGGAGGAAAGAAATGGGACTGTTTCAATTACAAGATTATGTTTTACAGACATACACAGGAAGTTTCTGCCCCAAACTCAGATGCTGGAACTATGTTACAGCTCTCTTAAAAACAGAAACACACACACACCTATGAGAAACAGTTGCTGCCTTGAAGGAGATATGTGAAGTTACATCTGTTACTACTTTTGACATACCTCCAGCTTCTGCCAACTGATAAGGCATTTGTCAGTTTGGTAACAAATAGGGACAGGGAAAAGGGAAGAAGGGGGGAAGCTAGGCAGTACTTATTTGTCTGCTACCTAAGAAACCATCCCAACAGAAAAATGTGGCCAATCTACGCTTCCTGGGCAAAGTGACTGAGAGAGCAGTAGTGAACCCACTCCAAGTCTTCTTGGATAACTCTTCTGCTTTAGACCCTTTTCAGTGTGGTTTTAGGCCAGGCTATGGGACAGAGACGCCTCTTCTAGCTTTAGTTGATGACCCCCGTCTAAGTATACACAAAGGCCAAGCCACTCTGTTGCCCTTTCTGGATTTATCTGCAGCATTTGATATAGTAGATCATGCCATCTGTTGAGGTGCCTGGAGGCAGTAGTAGTTATCAGGGGATGTGCGTTGAACTGGTTCAAAGAATTCATCATGGACTGGACTTGAAGTGTTGCAATTGAAATCCAACTGTCGTTGGTGTGGGACCTATCTTGTGGGGCTCCACAGGGTGCAATTCTATTCCCCATGCTTTTATAACTCTATGTAAAGCCCTTAGGACAAATCATTTGTAGTTTTGGGGTTGGTTATCATCAATATGCTGATGATAGCTTCATATATCCTTATCCAAATCTCCTGGTGATGTGGTAGAGAGCCTGAAGTGCTGCCTGGCTGTGGTGGTTAACTGGCTAAAAGTGAACAAATTGAAACTAAACCCTGAAAAGACAGAGGTCATGCTGGTTGGGAAGGCAGAGGCCTTGAAGGACATTGCAATCCTCACTTCTGATGGAGTTCAACTGGCCCTTGCTGCCTCAGTGAAAAGCCAAGCTTTATTGCCGGTGAAGCAAGTTAATACAGCTGCAAAAAAAGACTTTCTACCAGACTCAGCCTAGCCCATAAGATCGCCCCGTATCTTGAGACAGCCAACCTGGCCACCTGGATCCATGCCACAGTAACATCGAGACTAGACTACTGTAATGCAGTGTACATTGGTCTCCCCTCAAAATCAACTTGGAAACTCTAACTGGTCCAGAACTGCTACACTTGGACTACTGGCAGGAGCTAGATGTAGCATGCATATTCCTCCCATTCTGCAGATGCTCCATTGGCTGCCCATTTGCTACTGAGCTCAGTTTAAGGTATTGGCTACCACATACAAAGCCTTCATGGCCTCGGCCCCTCTTATTTGCGGGGCTGCCTCTCTCACTACGTTCCACCACAACAACATTGCTCATGTCAGCAGGGACTTCTGCAGTTGCCAGTCGGCAAATGAGCAAAATCAACAACTGCCTGGACACGTGCTTTCTCCATTGTGGCTCCCGCCTTGTGGAGTAGCCTGCTGGAGGAGGTCAGGAAAAATCCTATTCTCCAGGCCTTCCACAAACGATGTAAAACTGAATTATCCAAGGGGGCTTTTCTGTGCAGGTAACAGGGTTGCACTGTACAAAAGGGTTCACAAATTTACTTGGATAAATGATTGAGACTGTGGTCTATACTGCTTATTGTAAGAAGCTTATTGTAAGAAGGATCCTAATACGTAATTTCTGTACCCCATAATGTGTTGTGTTAATACTTATTCTATGCTTTGGTTCTTTCTGGTGGTTCCAGAGCCCTAAAATCCTAATGCACTGGTTACTGAAGGTCCCATTTTGTACTGACTCACTTGTGTAATCCACCCTGAGTCCCTGTGGGAAAGACAGACTATAAATAACAGAAATAAATACATTTTGCCTGTCCCTGACTCCTAATAGGAAATATAACTTTTGATTTGAATGTAACCCTTTCCTGGGTTTTGATAGGCAATTTGCAATAATTTACAAAAAATAAAGATACCTAATATGGAGCAGGAAAACAAAACCTTGTAGTAGTTATTGATACACTAAATAGGGAACCATCCCATACAGCAGGGGGTCCCCAAGACGGTACCAGCCAAATGTGGAGCTGGCGAGGCTTTTGCTCAGCAGGGCATCTGACTAGCAACTGGGGACCTGATTAAGAACACAAGAAGAGCTCTGCTGGATCAGACCAGCGGTCCATCTAGTCCAGCATCCTGTCTCACATAGTGGCCAACTAGTTCCTCTGGATGGCCAACAAGGCATAGACATTGAGGCCTTCCCTTGATGTTGCCTCCTGGCTCTGGGCTTCGGAGGATTAGTGCTGAGCAGATGAAAATAATGTTCTTTCAGCAACAGCTGCCATCACAGTGTTGGTTTTATTCTCTCTCAGTCCTCTTCCTGAGGGTATTTTTGTATTTAAGCGTGTGTCTGGCTCAACCCCCTACGGAAGCCATTTTGTGGTTGTGTCCACCACCGTGTCCGAATTCCAAAAGTGACTACAGGCTCAAAAGGGTTGGGGATTCCTGCTTTGCAGGCTGGATATAAGATTTTATGGCTACGATACAGCTTCTAACACATTTATACGCATCAGTTACACTCCTTGCAATGTTAGGTTTTTTATGATTTCCCAAAGTACACATAAAGCTACATAAGCAATTATTTGGTTTATATATAAGGCAGAAGCAGATCCACCACCCAGCTGCTTTACACACCTCGTGCCTGCCAAATCTCACAGCAAAGAAACTGTTAGATAGTAGAAGAATTCTCTAGAAAGAAAGCCAAGCTGGTCAGGTACTCCAGTCTCATCAGCACTCCTTAACAGCTTGGTAAATACCAAGCATATAAGAGGTCACCTTTCAGGCAGCATTTTCTACAGAGGAGCCCTCAGAAGAAGCCATCTCCACACATATGGAGGCACAGCCATACTGTGGTGGCTTTTGATAAGTTCTGCCAGCAGAGTTCCTTCTGTATTCTCTTAGCAGTACTTGTTGGTAACATTAAAAAACAATTTTCTGTAGGAAAGTTGCTCGGGCTACAGATGAGAATGCAACCTGGACAATTTTCTTACACAACATCTCTTAATCATAACCAGACGAAGCAAGACTGCACTGGTAGTAAAGCAGGGTGGCTGTTATACTTCACTAGCTGAGAAGTTCGATACAGCTATAATGGCTAACTTAATTTTAGTAGTCTCCAAGATCAGACATATTTAAGATTAATTTAAGGTCAGAAGTAATCTATGCACAAGCATGAAGTTAAAAAAAGAGGGAGAAAGAATTTTTTTTTTTAAATAAGCCACAGCCACTGCCAAACTGCCCACTAGGTGAACATGTGTGTGTTTAAGTGCCATCAGGCTGCTTCCAACTTACAACAACCCTATGAATTAATCACCTCCAAAATGACCTATCAATAACAGCCTTGCTCAGGTACTGCAAACTGAAGGCTTTGGTTGCCTTTATTCAGTTAATCCATCGCATGTTGGGTCTTCCTCTTTTCCTATTATCTTCAGCTTTTCTTACCAGGATTGTCTTTCCCATACGCATACTTTATTACAAATCCCAATCAGGCCCTGCTTGTTTACCCCCACAGGGTAACCAGCAGCTCTGCAGAACCATTTTCAGATCAAGACACTGGCAAGTAATGGAAGGTTTAGTCCATAAGAACATAAGAGATGCCAATGTTGGATCAGGCCAAAGGCCCATCCAGTCCAACAATCTGTATCACACAGTGGCCAGAAATACCAGTGCCATCAGGAGGTCCACCAGTGGGGCCAGGACATTAGAAGCCATCCCACTGTTGACCCCCCCAAGCACCAAGATGACAGAGCATCACTTGCCCCAGAGTCCCTATCTATACCTTGTGGCTAATAGCCACTGATGGACCTCTGCTCCATATGCCCCCTCCCCCTTTGAATCTGGGCTTCTTAACCTGCTTTTTAGAAAGAAACAAAGTCCAAGAGCCTCCCTCATGACACTCCCAGGGTCATATCCATTTTGGTCCAACATGCTGAATGCAACATGCCCTAAAGCTGTGGATGGCCAGCAACAAAGATGCTGCAAACAATGTGCTGCAAACCACATTTTGTTAAAATAATTGAGGCATGGCTACAGACAAAATTTAGCCTAGAGATTCATAGCAAATGTGAAACATCCACATCATAGTGAAATACACCATCAGTTGATCTTTAGAGTAATATTACGATTGATCAAAGAAAGCCACTCTTATAGACCAGTGGTAGGACAATAATTGGGGATAAATAACTGGGGATACTGTCCTACTCTGTCAGCATTGAAGATATATGCCGGACCAAATGCAAACAAAAAGCTCTAATGGAAGGGGACAGGGAGGTGGTTTTAAGCAGAATTAAACACGGCTTCCTGCTGCCACAAAAATGCACTATTTCCCAATTCCATTAGCATCTTGAAATATCTGAAGTATTGTGTTCAAACACAAGATTCACAGTTTTTAAAAAACACTTAAGTTGTTTCCTGAGCAAAGATGTAAGTTTGCTCTGGGGCGAAGAAGAGGGGGGGGGGGGGGGGGGGGGGGGGAGAGAAGAAAGGTTTCCAGATGACAAGCTGCTGATTCAGAAGTTTGCCTTAGAAGGAAGAAAATTCCCAGGCGTGGTTAACAGCAGCTGCTGTGCAAAGCTCTGGATCCCGGCACTCTCCAAACATGTCAGGCATGTTTAGAATGAGCCACCCTTGAGTTTCTCAACATGCTCCTCTGCCTCTCCCTCCCTCCCTCCCTCTCTCTTGCCACTTCTCCCCCAAAAGGAATACTAGAGGGAACTTGTGCAAGCTGAAAGCGATCAGTGCCTGCTGCTGCTGCTGCTGCTGCAGCCTTCCAGCTGGAGCTCTCACACACACGCTGGATTCCAACCACCTTCAGCAATCCATTTTTAACTACTTTCTGCTGGACAGCTTTCGGCATCTTGAAATTTTTATATTTCCTTCAGCTTTGTTTCATGGAAGAGATGAAAAGGCAAGAGGCGTTTTCCTTCACCCGTATTTTCCTGCCTTTACACAAAAAGAAGCAATTCACAACTCACCTTATCCCAGGATGTATGGAGCAGTTCAAAATAAAACAGGTAGCATATAAAAATGTACACCAAAAAGAAAGGGAAGGAAGGTTTTCTCTGATCCCTATGCACATACTACTTAAAAATGAGGAAAACCTAAGAACCCATCATGTAACCACAGAAGAGAATTACAGAAGGCTGTTTTATTGAGGGAGGGGAAACTAACATCTAGATATGCTCTAAGAGTTAAAACTCTGATGTTTTCACCATTCTTTTCGAACTACCTCCCTTAAAGTAATTTAACAACCTTTCTGCAGGCAAGAAAAATTGCAGCTACTTTCTGAAGAAAAAGAGGGCATACTGCTATAGATAACAGACCTTTCCATCAAAGCATCCAGAGTAATTCTTTCATGAATTAGGTTCAGTTACTATTCAGACTAAATCCACAAATGGCAGCAGTGTAACATCTTTTATTAGGTCTAGCTAAATTATCACAAACTGCCAAGCAAGCACGTGAGCTCCTGAGAACATTTCTTAGGCTAACCGAATATGAGGACTGTTGTGTTTTTCTTTACTTCTACTGTGTGTCCAAGTCGGAGAAGTCTGAATTATGCCTAGCTTTCCTCTCTCCAAAGGAAAATGAGCCTTCCCTCCTGCCTATAATTACTTGTTCCAGTAGAAACCTGAAATCTGTTGTGTCCCCAACACCATCCAATAATATAGCAGGTGTTGCAGATGGAAGACTTCTACAATTACAGACTTGGGGGGCTTCTCCGTCATGCCATGAAAAAGCTTTTTCTCCCCCCTGCCCCTCTAGCCTTTGTTTATACTAAACATCCAGTTTGCTGAAGAGTTCTGGAAAGCTATATTTTAGGTGGTCCTATAAAAGGCAGAGGAGCTGCGGTGGCTCAAGTGGTTAAGACGCTGAACTGCAGGCTGTGGAAGGTCAGTAGTTCAGCAGTTCAAGACCCGAGTTGCCGCATGACGGAGTGAGCTCCCGTCTCTAGTTCCAGCTCCTGCCAACCTAGCAGTTCGAAAGCAAGAAATTGCAAGTAGATAAATAGGTACCACTTCGGTGGGAAGGTAACAGCGTTCCGTGCGCCTTGGTGTTTAGTCATGCTGGCCACATGACCACGGAAACGTCTTCGGACAGCGCTGGCTCTTCGGCTTTGAAATGGAGATGAGCACCGCAACCCTAGAGTCGGACTCGCCTGGCTTTCGAGCAAGGGAACCTTTACTTTATAAAAGGCAGAACGACTCCAAAATATCAGTAGTGTAATAATGGCCCAAGACAGCTATCTGCAGTCTTCTTTACACGAAGATTTTTAGCATAAGAGTCAGCTATGGCAAGTAATGACTTTCTATTGCACGAATGATGATGTGGTATTTTCAGATGTTTAGAGTTTTATGTGGGAGTGAGCCAGACTATTCAGTGGCTTTGCTGATTACAACCAGAGAGTGGAGACCCAGCTACAGACATTTCATCTTACTTCAATGTTGTACTCTTCTAATGAAGACCTCTCACAACAGGATACAATATTGGATTCCTGTCACATGCTGTTCACATGTTTTACAATATATGTTCTCTGTTATGAGCTCTGCTGTGCAATGGTTTTGTAAGGGATGTATATGCGTCACATTTACAAATATGTGTATGTTCTGATGTTTAAATACAAATCACTCACATTTGCCATATTCTATCTGATATAAATGCAGCCCTTTATAATAAAGTGGTGCTCATTAGTACTTTGATTTTTGTGATTACAAACGATGTCTCATTAATTGTGTCGACATCTGAGTATTTTTCCAATCTACATGTCTAGTAATAGTCGTTGCTGCCCCCCACTGCCCACACTAAGAAATTTTTCAGTATTGGTCTACAGCCACCATTCTACTGAGGGGGAAAGGTTATGATTTTTTAAAAAGGCCCTAGATACAAAGTTAGAACAAGTCACCAAGGATGCTTGCAAACGCTATCAGAAAGCGCTCTTGTAAGCTTTAACTTATCACTCCTTCTCTTTTCCTGTGGTGCAGTCATTAGGATATTGAACTAGGATCTGGGCGACTCAGATTCAAATCTATACTCTGCCATGGAAATTTCCTTGAGTGACTTGAGCCACTCACTCTCTCTCAGCCTAGCCTATCTCGCAAGGTTGTTGTGAAGATAAAATGGAGGAGGGAGAACCATGTAGGCTACCCTGAGTTCCTTGGATGAAGGGCAGAATAAACATCTATTAAACATTTATAAGTTTGGGACTGTTTTTCACACATGGACCATACATGCACAGTTTATCCACAACTGCCTTTGTAACAGGTAGTTTATAACTCTGAGGCATATGCATAATTAGGGAGAACACACCAGTCAAACTGGTGACCTCTGCCAACAGGAAACGTGAGAGTTTGAAACAATGACCTTTTATTGCACTAATTTTCTACTGAATTGTGCTGAAGCCATTCAAGACCCGGGTGGGCACTTAACTGGCCTACCAACACATATCCCCAGCCGGGTATTTCTGCCATCCCTTTCCTAGAAAGAGTGAGTTCTGCTGCTGCCCAGACCCAGGCTTTTTCAGTTGCTACCCTTCTATTGTGAAATAACCTCTCAGAGGAAGCAAGCCAGGTGTCCACCCAGATGGTGGATAGTGCAAGCCGTACGTACATGTATACATTCCTATTCATGCCAGAGTTACATGAGACTTTAAACTGCACAGAACTTTTGGGAGGTCAGTTGGAAGAGTAGGAAGCCGATTCTTGGCAGCATGCAGAAGAGGGTTCCTGACTTACTCAAATACAGTGTCAAGTTTGGGCTTTGGCCACTGCTATTTGTAAGGTATCTGCACTGACAGGCAGAAGCCAGGTCATCTTTCTTTAGTCTCTCTCAGCATGGAGAACCCATCTGAGGGAAAGTTGGAACTTTTTCAGGGAGCATTACCAGTGAGCAGCCCCGTTATTGCTACATTCCTGAAGCTCTCCTATACAAGCCTAATGTCAACAAAGGAGACGGAGTGGTGATGTAATGTCTGAGGACATGCCACAGAGTCAAGATAATTTTTGTTTTATTCTCAGAGCAAACTTTAACTCTTGCCTGAAAGAGGCAGCAGCCGGCAGCTTTTGTTACCAAAGACCTGGACAAAAATATGTTATCTTCAGCAAAACAAAAACTGGTTAGGAAAGCAGCAAGATAGGTACAAAATCAGAACATTTCCCCAACTCTAATCCCTTAAGAGGGGTCGGCAAGTTCTGTTAGCGTCTTTTCATATTGCTATAAAATACCTGCTTTTTAAAAGGTGAAAAATCCAAACAGATGCCTCAGTCACATATTTTATTGCCGGCCCTTAAACACCCATTTATAAAGAATTGGGCGACTGAGCAACTGATCGATGAAGTTTACCTGGTCACGATCCCCTGCAAAACAGCAGCTTTTCATGGTGCACGAATTAAAGTAACCCTGGTTGTCAAACTGGAAGACCGGCAGGCGGGAGTGGATATCATACAAGACTGGAGGCAACCGACGTCTGAGGGCAAGCAGCTGTGTTCCATTGCTGTTGAACCGCACACTCATGGCACTCTGAAGTGACAGATTCCCACCATACCGAAGCAGGGAACTAGGAAACAGGAAACCAAGAAATTGGCCACCACAGTTCATTAACTCAGTAGAATTATACTGTATCAAGGCAGGACAGCAAGCAAGTTCAAGGGAGAAAAAGGTTTACATGTTATTCCATGATCCAAAATGCTCAGTCCATTTTAATCGGACATCATTCATCATTTTCAGGGGTGGGGGGGGGATGAATATGTTTCTAACACTGAGAAATAAAAACAGACACCTGTACTTTCATACTAGTTTGGTAGATTTAGCAAACTCTAAACAAGTACCTGTGTTTACTAAAAAGACTGATTAACTGAAATAGACTGCGTAACTAAATAGACTGCATAACTGAAATCACAACTAGCCTGTTCTAGTAATTTCAACAAGATTTCAATATGACTGCAATCCTGTGCACACTTAACAGGAAGTCAGCCATCGCTGAAAATTAGACAGAGTTGTTCTCAGGTGAATGTCAATAGGATTAGACAGCCACAGCCTGTAGCACATTATAAGACCAACAAGTTTAGAGTGGCAAAAGCTTTCAATATCAAATGAAGTCTGCTGCTGTTTATACTTCTTTCTTTTTCTTTTAAAGTACCTCAGCACTATTTGCAACAAGCACTTAGAACTGCCAGCTGCTTTATGGACCAATCTTGTTGCTCTGTGACAATGTACTGAAGTCAGAAGTAAGGCTCATGGAGCACTTAGACATACGGAAGAGCCAGCGGGGAACAAGGTATCAACAACCACACAGAATTACGTGAAAATCCCACAGAAAGGATTTTTGGTACAGCAAGATTTGAACTGTAATGCAGTGAAACCAAATACTGCAATTCCACTTTTTCTAGCCATGAAGAACAACCCTAACACAAAAACAGCTTACAATTCTCTTACAGTATGGAACCTCACAGCCATGATAATCTGGAGAACTTGCTTCTTCATGACCTTCCCCCCCCCCATAACACTCTCCTTGATAAGTCACAAAAAAGCTCCCCGCAGCTGTCCTATAGTGTTTACTATCCATTTTCCTTTACCTACTCCATCAAGTAAGACTTTCAACAACAGCTAGATTTGACTGAGGCATCACCACCTGCCAATTACCAAGCCATAAAAACTTCGGCTACCAATGTCTGCAGATCAAACTGTTAGAAGCACCGGAGCAGCCAAGCCAGTTCTTCTCTGCTCAGCTGGCAACCCCATTGCTAAGCCCTTCCCCTTTCCTCATATTGCTTGAAAATCCAACTAATATCCAACAGAACCTAAATTAGTGTTTTACAGACTGCATTAACAGGCAAGTCCTCTGAACTTCCACAGAATGTCACTTCCACAGTATATGATAAAAACGTTAGGTTTTAATACCTGCCCATGGTTCATGTCACATACACTAAGAGGGAAACTTACTAAATTCAGAAATAGATTGCTATGCGGCTTCCTAGCACACATATGAAGGATAGCGATAAATTTGTACACGATCGTTGCTTAAGAAAGCCTGCATGTTTGTTTATTTAGAAAATGTATGTTAGCTTTTTAGAGAGATGCTCAGGGCAGCTTACAACTAACACAGTAAAGCAAGTCATTAAAAAAACAAGCCAGTGCCATTAAGACAAGCCACGAAAAACAAGCCAATGCCATTAAAACCTAAAGATGATGTAAACCTAAGCCTAAAATGATTTATATAAAATGATCATCAGGTCAGAGCAGACCATAAACCATTTAAGAGTTAAAAGCCTGGGTAAAAAAGCCTGAGCCTAAAGGAAAGCAAGACAGGGGCCTGACAAAGCTCACAGGAGAAGACGGTCCACTGAAAAAGCCCTGCCTCTGGAGAAAGGGGCACAAAGAGGGCTTCAGGTAGGCGGGACAATAAGGTGGAGGCAAAAGTGTTACACTTTTTCTAACACCGAAAGGCTTTATTCTGGCACAAGCTATGTGACATGGCCCTTAAGAGGTCATCAGCCATGTACACGACACACAAGTGGCAACCAAACCCAGGGTCTGCTGAACAGGGAAGCCTTCTATACAAGTAAAGCTTTGTTAGCTTGCATGCTAACTTCCAATAGCAGCTCAGAGCACAAAGAAAAGAACTGAAAATGGCGAATGGTGGCCACTGTTTGTAATCAGAGTCCAGTAGCACCTTAGAGACCAACAAGATTTTCAGGGTATGCGCTTTCAGGAGTCAAAGCTCGCTTCATCAGATGTTAACAGCGACAAAGCAGGTTTTAATCAGCTAACTGTTTCCTTTTCAGAAAAAAGGGCCAGCTGAAACATTTGTTTTAAAGTCTGAATAGTGTTCAGCAAGCTTTCTATCTGGATGAATGGTTTCTCTGAAATTAGACAAAGCATTTACTGCCAACAAAGCAGAGGGCAAAGGTACGGCAAAGGAGTACAGAACAAGGCTCTTCTGTTTTTGAAGAAGGTACTGCAACTGCATTAACAGAACCATTCAATCTACATCACCAAGGTCTGTCAAAAGGTAAGTGAGCTGTGCTCTGGCCAATGGCTTTAGGAAATTCATCATTGAAGGTGGAGAAAAGGAAGGAAGGAAGGATCAGAAGGTTATGAACAGCAGAAATGGAAATTGTCTACTATATAATGACATGAAAAATAATCTTAAAAGGAAGAGGACAGAATGCCTACAACACCTCAAAACAAAAAATGTCCAAAACGTATAGTAATATACTCATCCGATACCGAGGCTGCAGTCACACCCGCTAAATAATCCACTTTCAGTGCACTTTCCAACTGGATTTTACTGTGTGAACTGGCAAAATCCAACTGCAAAGTGGACTGAAAGTGGATCATTTAGTGTGTGTGACCACAGCTCAAGTCACTTTTTAAGTCAGATCTGTGATTTCTAATTGCTTAATAAGTATGTGTGGGGAGATATAGCTAGACGGCAAGAATAGCATCCCTAGAGAGCACCAAGGACCTTTCCATGCTTCTTGCCTTTTCCATATACAATATACAGTATAGATGGCTGCACAAGACTGGAAGAACTGGTGCTATGCATCTATGAACCATGCATCTCTGAACTGAAGGAAAGGAGGAGACACAATGTAACCCCCTCCCAGCAGCCCTTTGGGTCAGAATTCATGTGTTTGAGCCACCTTCATGACTACTCAGATACGACAAAGCCTAAGACTGCAGGAGGGGATCCATGTTTGATATTCAAGACAATCAAGAAACTGACTCAGAAGGAAGTAACCACCTTCCCCTGGGGGCCTGGACATTCCCTTGACAATGACTCTATTCTTTGGCTCCCTGAGGGCTCATCAAAGTACAGGCCATGATTAATGATCAAGGTTTGCAAGGTTTCCTTCTAGGAACACGCAGCAATCTGCCTTAAAGTATGTAGACCTTCCTGGAAAACCTAATAATAAGTGAAGCCAGGAGCAGCAGCCATCTCTAGAACTTTGTTAACAGGCACTAATCAGGCCTGCCACTCAGGTAATTCCATCACGCCACCTATATCATTCTGCTGAATTATGATAGTTTTGCGATCACAAAGTATCCCAGAACTCCCCCATCATGGACAGAACTCTAAAAATGTCACCAATACTAAGTGTCAAAGGAAAAAACATGATAATTATAGCATCTCAGCAAGGGAAAAAATAGAAAGCAATCTCAACCCCAAAGACTGATCCTCCACTGCTGAAATCACTGGGCAAACACCCCTCTCCCTTGCTACTTTGGAACCAACTGCTTCAAGAATTCTGGACCAGGCAACATATTAAACTTTCTGCTCTGCTTCTTTAAACCGCTTCCTTCTTCCCAACTAGCCCCATCCCTTTGCTCAAAGTGCTGCTCAGACAGAACCCACAACCCTCATCCTCCTACCCCCCCTTCCACTTTGGGAATACTCTACATTCACAGCCACAGCGGGGGTGGGGGTGGGTTCTGACTTTGGACAAGACTGAAGAATGAACATCTAGGAGTACAGCTTCCACTAGGAATCCTCTGGTTTACTTGTTACTTATTTCCCAAAGGCTTGTGTGATTTTTATGAGCCATCTAGTTACTTGCAGTTCAGCAACTCCCCATATGTAGTATTGCTTTTCAAATTACCTGCATTTCTTAAAACTTTTCCTTCTGTTAATGACAATGAATATTAAACCTTAAGTACTGACTCCTTCACTGCCTACTAGTCTAGGTCCCTTCCTGAGCTATAGCCCAAGAGGTACAAATGTTTTCCCAGCCTAACCTCAATTCTGGATGGCCTTGGGGAGGCCTTAGATCTACCCAGAAAGGAACAGCCTCAAATGAGGGGCTATTTGGACCTTACAAGGGAGCCAAAAATTTGGCTGCACATGTGAAGAGACCATACTTCCATGGCAGAGCAGCTGCATACCTAAAGTTGCCAGGCTAAATCCCTGTTATTGTCAGTAAGAGGATCTCTGGGGAAAGAAGTCTGCTTGAGAACTTGGAGCACCATTGCCAGCTGAAGCAGACAACTTTGATGTAGATGGTCTCATCTAGCAAAAACAGCTTTACACCCCCTCCTTCTTAATGTGGATTTAATATATGTTTACTCTCAAATAAGAAGAGGAAGAGAAGAGATTGGATTTATACCTGCCCTTCACTTGGAGTCTCAGAGCGGCTTACAATCTCCTTTCCCTTCCTCTCCCCACAACAGACACCCTGTGAGGTGGGTGGGGCTGAGAGAGCTCTTTGAGAACTGCCCTTGAGGGAATAGCTCTGAAAGAATTGTGACTGACCCAAGGTCACTCCAGCAGCCGCAGCATGTGAAGAGTGGGGAATCAAACCCAGTTCTCCTAGATTAGAGTCTGTGCTCCTAAACACTACACCAAACTGGCTACACCAAATAAGTCACCATACAGCTAGGTTTTTGTTTGCGGCATGCTCTATATACGCCAATAAAAAGCAAATACGAAGAACAGGACTCTAGAGAGTGATTTGCCAGCTTTCTAGAAGACAGTTAGCTGGTCATGTGATGGCTGAACAAGCTACCTTGGAATGGCTTAAGACCAAGCTGAAATTGGCAAAGATAGTCAAGTGATATTTAATTCCAAATGTTCTAGAAGTTCCACAACAGTGCCTATATCAGTCTCTTTTATCAAACTAAGTAGTCCAGTGGCACCTTCAAAGATTGTAGCATGAACTTCCATAAACAAGTGTAGAATGGCTATACCTATAAAATGGCCTTGTAAAGAGGTTTTGGGGCCTCTTGAAATATGAAGCTGCCTTATACAGTCAGATGACTGATCCATCCAGCTCAGTATGGCCCACTCTGACTGGTAGTGGCTAACTTGGGTCTTAGGCAGAAACATAAGAACATAAGAGACGCCAATGTTGGATCAGGCCAAAGGCCCATCCAGTCCAACACCCTGTGTCACACAGTGGCCAGAAATACCAGGTGCCATCAGGAGGTCCACCAGTGGGGCCAGGACATTAGAAGCCCTCCCACTGTTGACCCCCCCAAGCACCAAGAAGACAGAGCATCACTTGTCCCAGAGCCCCTATCTATACCTTGTGGCTAATAGCCACTGATGGACCTTTGCTCCATATGCACTTCCAGTCACACTGCCTAAAGGTACTATTTAAAAAGATGTCCATAGGAGTAGATGCTTAAACTTATAAATAAAATTCTAGCATTTATCAGTATGTAAATTGACACAGAACAGTTCTGTATACTTGATTAAATATCACTGACAGAGATCAAAAGTTTGCACACACTTGTGGTTTTTAACACCATCTAGTGGCACAGGAGTCTCATAACAAGCTCTGTTTAAGTCACATTGCACGGGAGGGGGGGGGAAGAAGGCAGAAGCCTACAAAAGTACTTTTGGAAAATAAACAGCAGGCCAGCTGGGAAAATATGGGAACATACTATTAAGAAGAAAGCACCTGCATTTTCTGCAGAATATCTAAGAGCTCCAGTTCTAGAGAAACCAGCTAGCATGGAAGCACACATAATTATACCTTAAGGCTAAGGCAATTTTGATCTTTAAAAAAAATACTCAAAGGGTGCGTTCAGATGCGCCGTTTGATCTGGTATTGTCATGCTTCAGCAACGGATTTTATCTGCACGATCATACAGTCAACATCTGCCTCCCGTCCACAGCTGTTGGTTTCCAGCTCAAAAACGCTTTAACTCGGAATATTTTGTTACCAGGTCCCAAGGTGGTGTTTTCTCAGCTCTTCTCAGGGACAAAAGCCACACATTGGCTATGTCAGACAGAATGGCAACCAAAAGCAGATTATCTGGTATCCATTCCTGGGTTTTATGGATGTCGCTGTCCAAACCACACCTACACTTGCTCATGATAGGGATATGTTTCCCATATTTATTATTTATTTATTATTGCATTTCTACCCCACCCTCACTGATGTCTTGTCTCTTCTCCCTCATACTAGTTAACCTTATATACTTATATCTGCATAGCAATCTTCTTCTTCCTTTCCCTCCCCCATTGCTTCTCCTTTTCCCGATTTTCATTTTTTCCGCCTGTGGCCCTCCCCCTCTCTTTCTTATTGCATTCATTAATTGAAACAGAGACTTCTTTGCAAAATACAGAGTTGACACATGAAACTGCTACTAGCAACAGCAGCAACAGCTGTAGTTCATCACGAGAACAGAATACAAAAAGGGTTCCATGGCGAATAAGAACATGGATGGCTCAGGGTGTCCCAAGCCTGAAGTAACAGAAGTGGGCTGCAAGAAGATAAGATCTCAAGCTACACCACTGCAGTTAGCCTCGCTAACTCATTCAGTCCTCACATATGTATTCTCAACAAGAAGGACTATACATCCTCTGTATTTTAGTGTATTTCTTTTTCAGAATAGTATATTGGAATACTGAATGCAAGGAATATTGGGATTTCTGCTGACAACATTACATCCAGCTCAAAATATGCTAAGTGCCCTCTATACCTGAGAGGAAATAATTAAGATTCTGTTACTTCCCACAATGAGAAAAAACACCTTTAGACATTTATCTGCTATTCTGACATATTTATTGCTTTACAACTGTTGACCTTATAACCTTAACTTGTTATTTAGTTTTTCACTTTGCATAACTTAAACAACATCATGTTACATGTTAATTTACTGTTAAATCCCAGTCTATAAGTTTAGAACCTCATTTACCATTCCAACGTATTTGAAAAAGTGTGCCTTGCACACGAAAGCTCATACCTTGAATAAACCTTTGTTAGCCTTTAAAAGGGGGGGGGGTCTTAAAGGTGCCACTAGACTCTAAATTTGTTCTACTGCTTCAGACCAACACGGCTGACCATCTGAAAATCTAATGCAGATAAGCCAAAAGCTTCTTTCTGAACCAGATATTTGGCCTTACCACATTGGTCTTGAGGCAGCAAACCCTGTGAGATTGCAGGTGTTACCAAAATTCCTTTTTCTGGAAATGTTCTAACAGGGCTTACTATTTAATTTTACAAGATGTACGAATCTCACTCTCTAGAAAGTAGAATTACTGCAGGACATTAAATACTGAACAGTACTGTAAGGACCAATTAGTCTTTTCTCTCTCCAGCTTCATAAATATAACACATATGTAAACAAAACTCTGGTCCCCTACCTTTGAGGTTTACGAATATCCCAGAGTCCTACACCTTCTTTAGAGTTGGCAGTGGCTAGTAATCTTGGCTCTATTGGATTGAACATCACACTATGAAAGGCTGATGGATAATTTGCCAAACAGAAGGGATCTGTTGAAAAATGAAGATCAGACAAGAAAGCAACAAAGTTTCTATTGTGCAATACCTGGACATCTGACTTCACTTTCTTTGGAGAGATCTGAGAATACGATGTTTGCTAACATCGTCTATAGCAAATAGGATTGGCATCAACTGGGGCTGGTTCCACTCGAGGTCAGGAAAAGCCACTCCCATTGTGAAAGCAGCAAGTGAGAAAGAAGATGACATGGGTCATCACACCACTTGCTGGTGGTGGTCCCTCCCCACTCCCTTCCTGTGTTGGTACAAAAGCACTGACCTGATGATAGTTTTGCTGCCCCCCCCCAGTGCTTAATGCTCACAGCTGAGTGATATTTTTAAAAAGCCCTGTGAAAGGGCTAAAAAGGTGTGTGTGGGGGGGGATGCTGGCACCGAGGCTCACCTTTTGAAGAGGCCACTAAGCTCTGCCCCCTTCTAACTTTCACACACAAGCTTTGCCTGCACCCAACAAGCCTTTACCCTTTAAGACTGTTTCTACACATGCTATTTGCCCCGGGTTCAACGCTGCTGGAAAACTGATTTTTCCCCAACTTCCCCACAGCATCATGGTGCAGTTGTGTATCTCCTGCGCCTTTCCTGACTTTTCTCCAACCTTTCTCAAGCTTGATGTCCTCCAAAGTTTTAAGAAAGATCACAACAAAGCCTAAACGGCTGCTGTGTGGGTGAGAAAGCTCAGATTTTCCTTGTACCACCTACATGGCAGACATTTTCCCTGCCCTTGTCCTTGCAGCAGCAGCCATTTCTCCCCCCAAACACACTAGGGATTTTTTTAAATTCAGTAACTGAATATCATTACAGCAACACTGCAGCTGTGTATCAGATTCTCCGGATTCCCAGCTTTCATTTTAAAAAATTAAGTCTCTAGCCCCTTTCATTGTGGAGATATAAGAGGGGAGGCATATCTCTGCAATGAACGGGCCTAGAAACTTACCTTCTGTTTTAAATGAAAGCTGAGAACTCAGAGAACCTGATACACAGATCACTATAATAGTATAGTGATATAACAATATTCCACTGCTGACTTTTTAAAAAACTGAAAAATCCTTGTGGCATGGGGCCCCTTGGAATGGCCACTGCCGGAATATTGGTGGTGGAAAGTGCCAGCACATCATAGCTGATTTATGGCAACATTCAGTTGCTGACCTAAAAGTAGCAGTTATCTTTAAAGGGAGATTAGGGAAACTAATGCAGCTGCAACTGATAACAACGCTTAAGACAATGCATCCACCTGGATTGAATCCAGACCTAGGTTTCCTGTCTCATTACTAATGCTGATTTCTCCATGCCTATTACCCCTCTGCATATCTCACCTAAATCCAATCACACCTGCTATTGTTATTCACCTGCTATTGTCATTGCCTGCTAATGTCATTTGACTTCTGAAATCACTCCACTCTCCAGTATATAGGACAGATGAACTCCCATTCTAGCTGTATCTGAAGAAGTGAGCAGTGACTCATAAAAGCTCATACACTACCACAAATTTTGTTAGTCTTTAAGGTGCTACTGGAGTCTTATCCTGTGAGGTGGTTAGGCTGAGTGTGTATTAATGGCCCAATGTCACACAGCGAACTCCTATGGCAGAGTGGGGATTTGAACCTGAGTCTCCCAGATCATAGTGTGACACTCCAGCCACTACAGCACACTGGCACATTTCTATGTGCAGAAGTCTAATGCCTCTTCATGAGAAGAGGTTCACTAACAGAAATAAAGTCCCTTTTAAGATTTTTGACGCAAACTGCAACAAACAGCACACACATTCCTGTGCTGCAGATTTGTATCTTTACGTAAAAGTTTGAGAAGCCATTTTATGTAAAAGCCTTAAAGTTGTGCTCTCCTGCATTCTGTGAGTTTACAAAGTAATTTCTCAAAAAAGTTACAAGTGCTTGACAGCCCATCTAATTTAAACTAGATTATGCCATCCAAACTAATGTGGCATTAAACCCACTTTAATAAAGTAGGTGATTTTCATCCTTTTAAAATACTTTTCATTTGTTACATAATTATTATGTATAGTTAGCAGAGCAGCTGCTTTATCAACAGCCTAAAGGTGGCTAAACAAACTGCCTGCAGATCCTGCAATCCAAAATATTCTGGCAGAATCCACACACTCACCTTCAGGTTTCCTAGGGCTCCTGGTACTATTCTATAAGCATTCCTGATTTTGGATATCACTAAAGGCAGGTCCAGATCCATGGTCTACTGAGCAATTATACCTTAGCTGTCCAGTTAGCTATTTTGTTGCCCAAATTCCTTTATGAGGCTGGAACTTATCTCCCTGACCACACTCCAATTCTTCTGGGCAATTCTATAATCAGTTGCTATGGAGACATTTCCTACTCACATTGACTAGCTCCTTATTTTAAAAAAATCCCAGCTTCTGACTGAAGTCATCACAGAATGCATTTAAAAAAACTTCTGATGGTCTCATGAGACCGTCAGAAGTTTTTTTAAATGCATTCTGTGATGACATCAGTCAGAAGCTGGGATTTTTTAATCAGTCAAAAGCTGGGAGCACTCCCACTTTCTCTTTAGTTTTTCCAAACCCTAGGGTTATTTATTAGATTTATATTTGTTTTATATCCCACAGGGAGATCTTCAGACTGATAACCCTCCAATTACAATTTGCAAAATCCGACAGAGAGTTCTCAGCCTTCCACATTTCTGCCCCAAGCCTGTGGCTGAGCTGAAGGAGGACAAGGTTCCGTAAAAGAACATAGCAGCATAGGCATAGGCCTGGCACCCAGCCTACATCACTGGGCAAGACAGGAGATGAAGGTCAGTCCCATATGATTTGTATGTATCCATAATAGAAGTTAAAGGCCCATGATTTATTGTATTTACTTCATTTATACCCCACAGTTCTCCCACACAAGTGGCTTACATCGTTCTCCTCTCCTCTATTTTATCCTCACAACAACCCTGTGACATAGGTTAGGCTGAGAAGATATGACTGGCCCAAGGTTGCCCAGCAAGTTTCCATGACAGGATACGGATTTAAGCCTGGGTCTTGTGAGGCTAGAAATGTCCAGCCAATGTGGTGCAGTTGGGCTAAAACAAAGGGAGACCTGGGCTCACATCCCCATTCGGCCATGAAACCCACTGGATGACCTTGTGCCAGTCACTTTCAGGCCTAACCTGAAGGGTTGCCAGGCCCAGCCTGGCAGCCAGCTGAAGACTCGGGGGTAGGGGTGAATATGGGGGTGGTGGCCTTTGGTGTGATATCACTTCCAGGAAAACTTGAAGTGACATCACACCTCTCTAGGAGTTGGCCAAAGCTCTATGATAAAATGATACTTAGTTCTCTAGGAATCAATGAAAACTAACTGTGATGTCATGCTGTCATCTGACAACCTTTTTATTTTATTTTTCTGCTGCTGCTGGGGGCAGGGAACCTTACTAATCTACTTTACAGTAGACTTATGCACGCTGCCCTGATCTCTTTATAGGAAAGGTGGGACAAAAAAGCTATCGATACTAGAGTGAGCCAATTCCCCAAGCCTCACCCCTCTCCATTTGCTTTCCCCCTGTGTTTAACTGGATCCATAGTTAGTACTTCCTAGAACATGATCACTCCTCAATGGGCCTTTTAATTTTCATGTCATTTTTTAATGTATCCTTGGGTACGCAGAAACTCTCTCTTGTCTCTGTGTGGTCCCATTTTGCTGCTCAGCTGATAGTGATTCAAACAAGAAGTTCAGTACCAAAGAGAACAAGCTGAAGGCTTGCAAGGAATCATGAGCGGAGGGTAGGGAGAATCTGCTTTATCACAAGCATAGCAGTCAAATAGGACATCAATATAATAAGAGAGTATTTGTACCATAACGCAGTACCAATTCACTTAGTAGGGGAGCGGTGGCACAGTGTGTATATCCCACTGCTTAACATCCGAACTGTGTCAGTTCGGGCCCCGTGCTGGTGTGAGCAGCCAGCCTGTTGTCCCTAGCTCATCGTCCACCCAGCGATTCGAAAGCCTCGGCGAGTAGATAAAATGGGAACCACTCCTTAGAGAGGGTGGGCACACCAGCTCCCCTGTGAGAAGGTGTTAGCTGTCGGTTGTGACGTCCTGCTCCAGGATCGGAAGGCGGAAGAAACTACTCGGCTACGGAAAAAAAAATAAAAAAAAATCCCTGCAGTGGGGTGCTCCGGCCAGGCGGTGGCAGTGTGGCGATCCAAGCCAGAGATGTTTCCACCGTGCAGTTACGGTGTGAGCAATTAAAAATGAATTATATGTTGTCTTTCCTATCCCCTATGAAACATTGTTAGTCCCGTCTAAAAAGTGTAACTGTAAATCACTTTGAGCCTGTCTCAAGACAACATTATTATTATTATTATTATTATTATTATTATTATTATGTAATTCAATCCGATTTATTACAATCAAAGATCAGCAAATACCTTAAAATGTGACTTAGATGTAAAAGGTTAGCTTTACACTCATACATTCATAGCCCTCACCTCCATTGGAAGACTCTCGGATATCCCAAATGAGGACTCTTCCATCATCTGAAGAGCTTGCAAAAACGTTATCATTCACTGGACTCACTGACAGGCCATAGACTGCATCTTCATGGGCAAACACATCCAAAGTTTCACCACTGAAAGAGACACAGACATCATTTCCCCATTTCTACATTTAGCTAGGAGGGATGAGCTGTTAAGTATCACAAAAGGCCATCATTTGAAAATACTTAAATCTCTTATCCTCTGCTTTCCATATAAATACCTGGAACCTGAAGGTTAATTTAGTGGACAATACCAATACAAATGTATCCGCTCCCTCTCTTCAAGAGCATTTGCTGGAAAAATCTTGCATGAGAGATTAAGCCATTCATTATATTACAAACTTCACTCTGAATTAAAGAACCATACAGATACATTTACATAGGGTCTGTCTCAAGACAACATTTCTGTCCCCTTCCCATCCCCAAAGTCATAGCCTGCTTCCTTAACTAAGGGAATCTTTAACAGCAGTGTCCCTTAGGGACAGGAAGAAGATATCCATGTTCGTTCAGAAGGGGGGAGGGGGGGAAAGCACCACAAACTTGAGTACGTGCATAAGGGATCCAGAAGGTTTAACTACATAAGTCTAACAACTTTGACACATAATCTAGTATCATATAAAATTGTGGGAGGTGGGGGTGAAAAAAGTAGGAGAGGAAGTAAGCAGACTGCAGAAAAACTGGAAGGAATAGGAAACAGCGGTGATCAAAGATGCCATTATGCTCGCTATTTATCCAAGATCATCTACACATTAATTAAAGCTTCCTGTATCTTTGGGCTCAAGATGATCTGTGCACTTCTTCTTCTAGCATAGGAGAACACTCCAGCCTTCCAGGACATTCAGTGGGGGACTTCAAAGTAGCTGTTTTACTGCAAAGGAACTTCAGAAACAGACTAGAATGGGAGATTGCTAAATTACAAGTTATTTCAACACTCAGGACAATGGAACCCCCAGGGCTTAACAGAGATATCAGGTTCAGATCTTGCTACACATGCTAACTTCATTCAGTTCTTGCATATGTTTGTAAACTCCTCTATTATGCTGTCTGCTAATTTGCTGCAATACACAGGTCTTACCAATTGCCTCCATCCTGTCTTAGCTACATTTACTGCTCAGTTACTTATGCATCTTGACTCTAAGTGGCCCTTCCTAGCAACAACCTCCTCACTCTCTACCTATATGTAATGGTTGGTGACTTCTGCTTCAATGTATCTGAAGTGTGCATGCACATGAAAACTTATACCCAGAATAAAACTTTGTTGGTCTTAAAGGTGCCACTGGACAAACTTTGTTCTTCTTCTAGTATATCACCTTTGGAATTAAATTTCCCCAATCCAGATTTTTCATGCATTAAAACCAAACAAGCATATATTTACCTTTCAATATCATGGAGCAGAACTTGTTCATCATTACCTATAATGAAAAAAGAATTTAACACCAGTGTTAATGAAAACTTTATTAGAAAGTAGGAGAGCATTTGTGCAAATTTTGAGAAAGGAAAACTAAGGAGAAGGGAGGAAACTTGTTTCCTGCCAAAGCAGAACTAGATGTTCCATGGCAGACAATTTCTTGCTTGCTTCTGACATACAAAAAACAGCCATGGGAGAGGATATTTGTATAGGAGAAACTGGGGAGAGCATAAATTCTCTGATTACCATTTTTCCTCCACAAGCCCTTTCTGCCCATCTCTCCCCCCCTAACTCTGCCCACTTTCTCTAGCCTGGGATCAAGACATGAATCCCACTTACAATGCTGCACAGCTTAAGCACTCCCCAACCCCTCTACCTGCCCGGCAAATACCACCACTTTGCACACTGGCAGCAACACATAACTGGGAATTCAATGGATGCCACCGAACACCAAGGTTCTGGCTTCAAACTCTGAACTGGCAGCCAGAAAAATCCCTGTGAGAGTCCCCCCTCCCTCACCAAACATAACGGATCAGCCAAAGCATGTTCCAGCTGCCTTTTGGCCTTGCTGCAATATTTCCCCAAGCCTCCTTAGATCACCACGACCATAATACCTTATCTAACTGGAACTGCTATAAGGGAAATAACTTCACCTTGTTTGGCCCTTTAAAAAAAATCTGTGTACATTTGATTTAATATATTTATACCTGCACTGTTACCACACTAGTTCCCAATGGGGGGGGGGGTACACTCCCCAGTTTTAAAAAGTGAACAACCTCCCAGGCATTAAACCTGCATAAAATGGAAGGATACTGCTGGGGAAGGATTATTACTGCTGTTCTCCATCTTTAAAATATGGCTGTGAGAGTCTTCTGCTTTACAACTCTACTACAGGATAAGCACTCAGCCTCCCCCAAAATAGAACACATTTAAGAGAGAGAGATTCATAAACCCATGCCAGTATTTAAAGAGTTGATGTGAGGGAGAAGAGAGTCTCTCATCACTGGTCAGGTTTCAAGCAATACTAGGGTTGCCAGATCTGGCAGGGGATGAGGGGGGAGAAAGAGAAAGGCCCAAGCCTCATTGCTGGCGTTGCACCAGAAGTGACGTCATCACACCAGCAATGTCCAAGCGACACTCTGGTATTTGGGCAAACACACTATGGTAGAACTGGCTTCTACTATTGTTTTTGCCAAATACCAGAGTGTCACCTGGAAATCGCTGATGTGATGATGTCACTTCTTGTGTGACGCTGGCAACAAGGCCTGGGCCTTTCTCTTTCTCCAGATAAGTCCCCCTGCCAGCCAGCTTATCAGCGGCTGGAGTCAGGGCCTGTCGGCAGGGGATCCCTGCCTCCGTTGGGGGATCTAGCAACCCTATGCAAGACCCAGTAAGTTCTCCACAACTTCCACAGCCAAACAACAATTTGTAACAGGCTACTGGAAAGGAAAAATTAAATGCTCTCTAATCCAGAATATTACACCCAGAAAACACAGCTCTTTCACAAGACGATAGCAGGATTAGTTTCTCACTTGATGACATTAATATACACCTACTGAAAAATAGATTGCATGGGAAAACCATGGACCCATCATTTACTCATAAGAACATAAGAGACGCCAATGTTGGATCAGGCCAAAGGCCCATCCAGTCCAACACTCTGTGTCACACGGTGGCCAGAAATACCAGGTGCCATCAGGAGGTCCACCAGTGGGGCCAGGACACTAGAAGCCCCCCCACTGTTGACCCCCCCAAGCACCAAGATGACAGAGCATCACTTGCCCCAGAGCCCCTATCTATACCTTGTGGCTAATAGCCACTGATGGACCTCTGCTCCATATGCTTATCTAATTCCCTTTTGAAGCCGTCCGTGCTTGTAGCTCCCCCCCCCAAGCACCAAGAATACAGAGCATCACTTGCCCCAAACTGAGAGTTCCTGTCTATACCTTGTGGCTAATAGGCACTGATGGACCTCTGCTCCATATTTATTTTTATTTATTTATCTTATTTAATTTTATTTATACCCCGCCCT